AGTCTGGATTATTAAAACAAGGCTATCTGTGTTCATGTACTCCATCCACCAATATTCCCTTCATGTTTTCTTCATCCTCATTCAAACATCATAAACATATAGAAATATCTTATCTTGCCATCCTTATCTTGTACTCCCTCTTTATCTCCTCCCTGATTGGAAAATAAAGTCCACCTCTCTTAGATTGCTATGCAGATGTTTTCAAATTTTTGCCTTTACAGTGCTGCCCATTTGCTGAATAAGAATGTTTATTATTTAGACCAAGTTAGATATTCTATTATTTATACCTGCAAAGCTTTTCTCCAACTTATTCAAATTTGTATACCAACAGGCAGACCAAGATTCAACTATATAGTTGGTAAATAGACAGGTGGAGACATAAATGATAATTTTATTACATTCCAAATTATAAATAATAGCTAATCAGTAATAGATTTAATAAGCTTTTAGACATATTAGATGTTTAGAAAACTATCTTAAAATATGTAGGTGTGCTTCTGTGTCTGTTTACTCACTCTCAAGCAGGTGGAAGTTATAACCTACTTTGGTATCATTTCTCCTTCCTGCACAATGGTCAAGTTGAACTATAGACTTTCTAAGGTTTCTTCTGGTCTGGTAATACTTTTTGCAAGAGAAGCACATATATGTCCCTGCAGAGATGTATGCATTATATAAGTACACACATAAACATTAAAGCTCATATGGCTTATGGAGGAAAGCATTTATTCCTTGGAAATAAATTCATAAGTCACAGGTTGGTAATCATTTCCAGACAGCCTTAATTGGTCTGCCTCTTTTAGTAAGCCTAATGTACTTTGCCAAAGGAAGTGTATGGATTACAGTTCCACTTAGCTCAACTACAAATTTAAAACTCCTTTCACATTTTGCTGAAGAATTTATTTATGTTTTATTACAATGCCTTTTGCTTTGCTAGATTTTGCCTTCTTAATCAGGAATTTGGATGGTGGAAATTCATGTGTTAATGTAAGTTAAGATTTTTCCCCCCGTAGCAGTACAGGCTAAAATAATCTCTCCCAAAGGAGTAAGATCCAGCGCAGAAGATTGACTCATAATAGGGAGTTAAGGTTCATGTTCAGCCCGAAATAAAAACAATATATTTTAACCCTTTGGAATGTTCTTCTAACATCTTACAATATCACCAACAATATAACTGGATTTCAGGAAAATTTTACTTGACTTATAAAATTGTTTGAACACATATTTGTTGAGTGTGAAAGAAAGTTCCATGATCAATTATACTGGCCTAGGCAGAAAGACTGAGAACTAATTTAGTGATGACCAGAAGACTATTCATGTTTAAAAGCATAAATTATAGAGTTTGACTATATAAGAGGTGTGACAAAAAGCTCTAAAGTAGATAACAGAGTTTTAATGAATAAGAGAGTACTTAATTTATGAGGTATATTTGGAGAACAATTTACCACATAAAACAGTAATAGTTTAACAAAGTACATAAGCCATCATATTATTTCCCTTTCTGTCATTTTAAAACTATCTTGTGATATCTAAAATGTATATGACAGTTCAAAAAACATAGTAACTCACCAGATACACATCACACAATTTAATGACCACAAATTGTGCCGGATTTAATTTTTACTTTTACTTACTCCTTCCCACTTCTGATTATCCTGGAGCAAACATCAGATTTCCCATTATTTCATTCTTAAAAAAGATGTTCTTACTTTGAAGGTACTTAATATTCTAAAAATTTTATCACTAGATTTTAAAAAAAAAATTTGGTCCTGAAAAAGCCTTTTCTATCCCAAAATTATTATGATAGTCTCTTATATTCTTTCTAATGTTTAGTTATTTTATTTAGTTTTGTCATTTAAATTTACAATTCATTTGGACTTGATTTAGGCAGAGGATTATTCCTACTTTGTATATACCCATACCGATCATCCAATATAACTTTGTGAATCTATCATTCTTTTATCATTGCTCTGTAGTGCATACATACATCAAATGTCCACATGAACTTGTACAAAATTTGATAATAATTAGGCTGTAAGATAAGTCTTAAAATATTTTCAATGGATTGAAATCTGTCTAAAATTATCTCTGATCTTAAATATTATATTTAATTAGATATGCATAGTGGTGCATATCTATAATCCCAGCAACTCAGGAAGCAGAGGCAGGATGATCACAAGTTCAAGGCCAGCCTCTAAAAGTTAGTGAGACCCTGTATAAAAGTAAAAAAGGCTTCCCCTGTAGCTCAGTGGTGGAGTGCTAGAAGTTCAACGCCCAGTTTCACAAGTAAATGAATAAATAAAATAAGTAAATAAATAAGTGATAAATAAAATATAACTAGAAAATGTCTCGTATCTTTAGAAGTTAAGAAAATAGGAATATTTAAAAATGAATGAATGAAAAGACTACATAATAAAACTGAGATATATCAAAACCATATATAAAAGCCATAAACATACTCTTAAATACACATTTATTCAGTATAGAATACTAGGTTGGCAGTTACTTTGCAACTTGAACATTTTCATTTTTTCTGGCTTCCCATTGTAAAGTTATCTGTTACGTAGACACTCTTTTGACGGAAATCTCTTTTTCTTGATAGATTTTCATATTCATGTTATATTTGACTTTATGCAGCTTTTCTGTGTGTGTTTAAATATAGATTTCTTTTTGTTTTTCCTATTAGTTTTGAAAAACAATTAGACACTGTGCTGACTTTTGTATTTCAAATCAAAATAAACTAACTGTTCTTCTCATGTTTATGTCCTTGCCTTTTTCTAGTATTTTTTATCACTTTTTTCTTCAAACATCATGCTGAACAGTTTCTTCTGATGTGTCTTCAGTTCTTCATGGACTCTTAAGCTATTTATAATTAGCTATTAAGTGAATTTATTATCATAATTTCATGTATTAAGTTCCTAGATATATTTGATCTGTTTTTAAATATTCTATGTTATATTTACAGTCTCCAATACCCTGGTCAGATTTCAAGCTTGGTTTATGGTTCTTGAACTTAATAAACATAATTATTTATGGTTTGTGTTTGATAATCCATTGCTACATTTGTGTTTCTACATTTATGTTTGTATTACTTCTTGGTTTTAATTTACCTGGCTGTGTTCAATCCTGTGGTATATCCACAGGATTCAAAAGTTGTTAGAAGTAATTGGAAGCATAGAATATTGTTACTTTCCCACAGAGATCATTTTAATTTGCTTATTTTAGGCATATGAGAGAATTAACAGTTCTATGCCATTTTTATCCAATTTACTTTCTTTTTACCAAGGATATTAAAACTTGTATTATAATGATTTTGCATAACTAATACAAAATTTCTTGACATGAAGTCAAGAAATGGAAGAAATTTGCTCAAAAAAGGCTTTTTTAATTCCAGTGTCTCTCTTTGGGTTAACTGAGTTATGTAGAGACCATCATACTAAAGTTAGTGAGGACATGGACATGAATGCCTAGTTGACTGCTTTAAACCCCTCCTATCTGAAATCAAAAACACCAATTCTATTGCATAATTGATTTTTCTCTTTATTTGCATTTTAAAGATTACCAAACAGGGAGCATTTGTCTTTCCTTCTTTGAAATGGTTATAACTTCCTGTCATTGATATTTGTACTTCTCAGCTTTACAGTCAAGACATCCTATGTTTAATAGTTTACATGTTTATCATGGGCTTCCTTTTTCTTTACTACTGAGATATATCCTCAGCCCTTTTTATTCTGGCAATACTACCTTCACTACCTTCTCAACATTTCCCAGAATACATATTTTTCCCAGGGTAATCCAATTTTTTTTTCTTCTCTTTACATTAACACAAACACACACACACACACACACACACACACACACACGGACTCTCTCTCTCTCTCTCTCTCTCTCTCTCTCTCTCTCTCTCATCTGTTCGGCAAGAACTACATCATAATTTTTGTCCTCTCTTTGTGAAGAACTCATGGCTTCCTAGAGCAAAAAGCCTATTTTCAATTTCAAAGTTAAATAACATTGTACTATAATTTGTATCATTTAAAACTGTGTATTCTTTATATAAATTGTTCTAAACATGTTAGGGACTAAATGATGTGTTCCCTCAAACTATACACATTGAAATCCTAACCCTCAATATAACCGTATGGGGAGGTAAGGTCTTTATATATGATTAGGTTATGAGTGTGACACTCTATTAAATAGCATTAGTACACTTACAAAAGAGACCTCAAAGGTCTCTAACTCTCCACCACATGAGGACATAATGAGAAGTTGGATATCTATGAACCTAGGAATGGACTTAGCAGACCTTGAATTGGCCATTGTGTTAATTTTGGGTTTCCATGCTTACAGAATGGTAGGTCATGAATGTTCATTGTTTCAGCTACTCAGTCTATGGTATTTTCGTTGCTCGAACTAAGACAAAGTATATGTCTTGTCTCTAGTGAGACTATGTTTTTTAAGAAAACAAGTTATCAGATATTTTCAGAAACCTATTATGGTGCTTTGTTTATAACTGTTCTGAGTATTAACTTAAATAAAGAAAAGTACACTATATTTAGAATCTACAAAATTACTAAGTATCCTAAACTAAATGGCATAAAGGCCTGCAAAAATTATTAACGTTGATATATTTATTTTTTTAAGAGAGAGAGAGAGAGAGAGAGAATTTTTAATATTTATTTTTTAGTTTTCGGCGGACACAACATCTTTGTTTGTATGTGGTGCTGAGGATCTAACTCGGGCCGCACGCACGCCAGGCGAGCGCACTACCGCTTGAGCCACATCTCCAGCCCCAATATATTTACTTTAATTCAAACTTAATAGTTAACAGCTACAATGATTTATCCTTATTTTGATGATGAGAATTCAGCAGAACTAAAGTAATTTTCATTTATGTCTTTCATTGCGAAAACATCAGGATAATCCTGTGAGAGTACCCAAGCACTTTCTATGTTCATGACTAACTCAGACTACTTTAGAATTGCAGTTTATCACTAGATGCTTACTGTAGTTGTGGATGTTTTTGTGGAAGAAGTTGGCTGTGCTGTGGTCCAGGGAAGCACATGAATTATGACTGTGGTAGTAGCTGACAGCTGACGAGCTTTATTCCCACCTAATTCATCAGTGACTTCAATAAGCAACTGGAAAGTCACTGGGTCTTGAATCCCTTGAAATACATCATACTGGAAATTCTGCCTGATGACCAGAGAAGGAGGATCAACACCCAGTCTCCGAAGTGTGAACTGATTATTTGTATTTCCTGAAAATGATGTGGTAATAAAACAGACAAAAAACTACATTATGTATTATTGTTTCTACAGTTTAAGTTTTTATTTAAAAGTATTCCCCAATTTGTTTCAGCTACTACTACAGTTCCCTAATTTGTTTCCAACAGTTACAAAATATCTCACATGGGTATCTTATAAAATAGCAAAGAAGTGATGTATTTGCAATAATCTGTCTTACCTCCTACAATCGAATAGCTCAGATGTTCCTTTGGAGAATCTTTGTCTGAACAGTTGAGGTGAACAAAAGGAGCCTTAACAATGGAGTAAATCCGAGTTTCCAAATGTGGTGGATTGCATACAGGAGGCTCATCATTTATATTCTATAATACAAGGATATTATCTATTTCAGATTATCTCAAAAGAATTGGCGTATTTAATCAATTATTTACTTAAATTTTATAGTACACTATTTTTGCTTTCAACAATGTTGTTTGCGCACACTTTTACAAATCATCTTAATTATGTTATATTAGAAGAATATATTTTAATGTTTTACCATAAAACTTTTTTGTTTGGAGTTTCCCAGCAGTGAATTCCATATTTTACTTAATAAGTGTCTATTTCATATGTAATATTGCTAGGACAGGTACTCATACTATTTATTTTATTTTTAAATTTTAAAAATAGATTGAAAGCTCAATGTGATCTACAGTAATCATTTCCCTTTATTGCAGACATATGTGTCAAAAAGTTTCCTGAGTAATGTTTAAAACGGGGTAATCTCTACCTAAGAAGAAGCACATTTCACTCCTGGAGAGTTTTACTTGCTGGAAACACTGACTTTTGTTTATCTCAAGTATGATTTTTTTTTCTATAAATTCATCCAATTTGTTGTTTTTCAGAAATTTATGATCTAGTATAAAATGTGACTTACATTTCAAACAAATGGATGATTTCAGCAATTAGATTGGCAAGGGAATTTTATTATCTTTAGGAATGTTTGAATCTCAGAATTCTAAGATTCTTTGACTATCATCAGGATACAAACTAATAAGCTACTTGCCATCATCTCCCTTTTCTTTCTCAACTATAGAAGACATTGTTAATCTATTAAAGTAACAGCTTCGTTGATATCTTTCATCGCCAAAACATAAGGATAAGCACTTTCTGTTTGTGATTAAATCAGACTGCATTAGAATTATGTTTTCTCACAAAGTAATTACTATAGTAATTACTATAGTTATTGCTCCTGAAGAATATAGATAGTCTGAGAGGTATTTCCAAAGTACTGTAACACAATGGAATGTGAAATGAAACCACTTTATGTCTGTGATTTGGGAAAATGAAGTGCCTAAATCAACTTGTACATTCCTTATTCCCCTTACTAATATTTCTTGAAGTATTATTACACTTTTTACTTCATGCTAATAAGTTCACACAATTTTTTTTTTGCCACACTAACCTATTTATATATTCACTTAAAAAAATCTCTGTTCCTTATGAGACATTCTGAACAGTGTAAGTTAATTGAAAGAGGACATTTTTCATCATATAAATGATAGTCCCTTATAGGTACTCCTATGCTCTTCTAGTCTAGGCAACTGTGTTTTTTGTGTTTTATAACTTCTTCTTAATTTACCTTAAATATTAACAAAATTTCAATCTCTTTTCCCTCACTAATCAAATTTTATTTTTAATATAGACCTAATGTATTTTAAACATTTTGAATGAAATGTTGCTTATAAAGTATTTAAAAACCTAATATAGGGATCTATGATTCTCTATCAAATGAAAATTGCCCAGTATCCAATTTAATTATTATTATTTTTCATTTTAATATAAAGGGAAAATATATACAAAATGTAGGAGAAAATGCCTGTGTAAAACTAGATATAGAATGGGTATTGGAGGCATAAGCCAAAACACATTGAAGAATAGTAATTGATAGATATAGTAAGATATAGGTGGGATTCTATTAGGCTTAAAATTAATTTCTTCTCATTATTATCTGTTATTGTAAGTTCTTATATGCTGTTTTGTCCTTGTCATATTGTAAGTTTCAGAAAAACTCTTTTCCTTTAGGAGTTAATTTCATGTTAATATTCAGATAATTAAAATATACTATTTATACCAAGGACTCTCATGGGCAATAATGCTGTTCTTTACTTATCCATCACTAGGACATTGATCTTTCTTTTATGTAACAAGTGCCTACTCACCTAATCAGGAGCAAACTTTCCCAGTTTATCAGGAAATATATGATCTGGAACAAGTTGTTCATGTAGTTCTCTTGTTTTGGAGAGTGAAATCCCTAAATTATGTTGTGGATAATTTCCACAGAAGGTACAGATCTGTTTTCCTCTCCACCCCACTCCCCCACACACCCATATCAAGTGGTTAAGATTCTATGATGGCAAAAAAAGATCAAGCTAGTTTAAATCAAAACTGGATTTTGACAGAGTTCCTTGCTTTTCTATATCTGTTCAATGTGTTACTTCACAGAAAATTTATTTTGTCATCTAGTTACCATTGGACTTATTCATTCATTCACCTTTTCCTCTCTCTTCAATTGATTTATTTGTGAAATAAAATAGATAGACCAGACTACTAACAATGGTTGTTTGAATATTCCGTAGCTCTTTCACAAACAATGTATACAAAAGTATATTACTTAGTTTTGAAGTGTCTTACTCTAAAAAGTTATATATAAAAGGCACTTATAGAATCTCCATACTGCTTTCCATATTGGCTGCACCAATTTGCAGTCCCACCAGCAGTGTATGAGTGTACCTTTATCCCCACATCCTCGCCAACACTTCTTGTTGCTTGTGTTTGTAATAACTTCCATTCTGACTTGAGTGAGATCTAATCTTAGAGTAGTTTTGATTTATATTTCTCTAATTGCTAATGATGATGAACATTTTTTCATATATTTATTGATTGATTGTATATCATCATCTGAGAAGTGTCTGTTCAGGTCCTTGTCCCATTTATTGATTGGGTTATTTGTTTTTTGTTTTTTTTTTGTTTGTTTGTTTTTTTTTGGTGTTTAACTTTTTGAGTTATTTATATACCCTTGAGATTAGTGCTCTCTCTGATACGTGAGGTGTAAAGATTTGCTCCCAAGATGTAGGCTCTCTATTCACCTCAGAGATTGTTTCTTTTGCTGAGAAGAAACTTTTAAATTTGAATCCATCCCATTTATTTGAAAATTGGGAATGGAACCACCATTTGACCCAGCTATCCCTCTCTTCAGTCTATACCCAAAGGACTTAAAAATAGCATACTACAGGGACACAGCCACATCAGTGTTTATAGCAGCACAATTCACAACTGCTAAATTGTGGAACCAACCTAGATGCCCTTCAGTAGATGAATGGATAAAAAAATGTGGTATTTATACACAATGAAATATTACTCAGCAATAAAATAGAATAAAATCATGGAATTTGGAGGTAAATGGATGGAGCTGGAGGAGATAATGCTAAGTGAAGTTAGCCAATTCCAAAAAAACAAATGCCAAATGTTTTCTCTGATGTAAGGAGACTGATTCCTAGTGGGGTAAGGAGAGGGAGCATGGGAGGAATAGACAAACTCTAGATAGAGCAAAGGTGTTGGAGAGGAAGGGAGGGGGCATGGGGTTAGAAATTATGGTGGAATGTGATGGTCATCGTTATCCAAAGTACATGTATGAAGACATGAATTGTTGTGAATATACTTTGTATACAACCAGAGATATGAAAAATTGTGCTCTATCTGTGTAATATGAATTGTAATTCATTCCACTGTCATATATAAATTTAAAAAATAATTTTTAAAAAGGAAGTTATGGCCCCTAAGTTCTTTGTTAAGGAGGTTCTAGCAGTGTACCATCACTGGAAGGACAATGTGAATGGAAGGTACAACCAGAACTGTGTAAGAATAAGCACTTTACAGTTACAAGGATGAGAATTAAATGGGAGGGTCATGACTTCATGGAGTTGGACTTACTTGTGAATTGTATGCTAAAGCTTGTTACCTTCAAAAATTAAGTTCTTTAATGAGGAATTAATTAACAAGTCTAGATAGAGGAAACATATTGCTAAAAAGGAGGGAGAATACAGGCAAACAAATATTCCTCAGAGGGAAATTGTATAAAGGCTTTCAAAAAAAAAAACCATTTCTATTATAATTTTTGGCTCTTATTTATTGATAGCTTCCAAATTCATCTTGTGACCTAATTTTCTAAAGCTGTAATTTTCAACAATCTTTTTGATATCTCTATTATATTTTTGAACTCTGGGAACACGTTGGAAAGATAAATTCATCCTTTTCCAATATTGTTTTGACCAGCCTTTAAGCTAGTCCTTAAATTAAGCACAGGGAGACCCTGCCAACCTTGAATCATCAGTTCCTTTTTTCTGAGGTGCTGTTTTTATGGTTTGGGATTTAATATATTATTCCAGAGTTGCTTGCCAGAATTAATTTTGGCAAAAGACCATCATTTCCTTGACTAACTAGATCTCCAATTACAGTATAACAAAGCATATTCATGTCTCTAAGTGTTCTCAATTAAAATATTAGAAGTATAACTAGTTCATGGAAATTTGTTCAATACAAAGTCCAAAGAAAAACTAAGGTTTTACTTGTTATGTGTGATGAAAATTTAAACCTATTAAACTCCTAGAATGTTCATACTCTGTAATTTTATTACATATATTTATTAGCTAAATTTAAATAACTAAAAACAAACTTAGCTAATATATCTGGGAAGTTCATTCAAACCTGTTCCCAATTAAAGAGAAATAAATTGACTTAAGATTATCTTTAACTAACAGGAAAAGACATTTTCAATTTCTGTCTTGTTGCACACTAATCTAAGGTTTTAATAAAGAAACCAAAGCCATCTGTGTTTTTTTTTTCTAAATTAATAAACCATTATTATTAGTGTAGGAATTAAAAATTTAAAATATAGTTATAATTTTAATTTTATATTCTGGAGATAGAACGGATTTTCTTTAAAGGTAGAAAGTGTATTGATTCTTAAACTACAAATAAGTTACATTCATGGACAATTTGGGCAGCTATGAACCATTTCCTTGTATAAATTATAGTTAAATAAAAAATACTAAATGGAAACTTAATAAAGTTAACCCAATTTCTGATAATAATTTGCTATGCTAACATTGGCACTGTACACTGATTCTTATTATAAAAAGCAGAGTAGTACAAAAACAAATAATAAAACAAAATTAAGTCTGTAAGAGGATATTAGGGGATTAGTTATAAGTTGATAGGGCATTCTCTCACAAAAATGTTTAGAGAAGGTGTGAGTCTAATATCTAGTTGAAAATGACTGTCAATTATTTGCCTGAATCTTCAGTGCCTGCAGAAAATTCAT